TGTGTGTGTGTGAATGTGTGTATGTGTGTGAATGTGTGTGTGTGTGTGTGTGTGAATGTGTGTGTGTGTGTGTGAATGTGTGTGTGTGTGTCTGTGTCTGTCTCTCTCTCTCTCTCTTTCCATCTCCCTGCGTGTTTAGAGGTTTGCTCCAGTCCTAGTTCCTGGCCAGTCATTGTTCTTATTGATGCACAGAGAACATCACTCCTCTTTGCCATATATGTCTGTACATCGTCATAGTACAAATATTTCATCTTACTGGAAGGCTGTGGCTTGCATACACTCAATTGAAATTTTGCATGTGCTTTATTGATATGATTTTGCTCTTTATATTTCAGTGATTTTCCTTTGTAAAAGTAACTTCTTTTTGCTTGCAGGTGATAGACAATTTTTCACCAATTTTCAATGCCAGTTGCAAAAAGCAGTAAATTTTCCCTTTGTAATTGATTACCTCAGGGTTACCTTTTCTTATTTGGATACGCACAAGCACATGCACACACACATACACATACGTATAGTGTTTCAGAGAGAGAGAGAAAAGAAAAAAAATAGTTGGAGAAAAATTAGAGTTTTATAGAAGAGAAAATTAGAATATTGTTTTCATAGTTTTGTTTTCAAGTAGTGTGGTAGATCTCAAAAGTATTAGTAGAACTTGCAAGAGAAGCAGAGGCATCCTGGCATTGATATAATAAGTCTTTATAATTGGTAGGCCTATATAAAACAGGACTTGCAAATATTTAAGTGAAGATCATGCCATTTGAAAGTAATTTCTGAACAGGAGATATACAATAAGAATTCTATCTTACATTGTTATTGAATATCACTATGAAAATGTGGATCATAACATCATTTTTTTTTTTTTTTCAATAGAGTTGCCATGGAATACTGGACATTAGCCTTTCATCCGTGGAACGTTTGCACCGCCATAATATATACCCCATCGTCTTGCTGCTCAAGTTCCGCCATCATAAGCAGATCCGTGAAGTTTGTGATTCACACCTGACTTCTTCGGAAAGGATCTCGCAAAAAGAAGCCAAAGAGATGTTTGAACTGGCTAACAAAATGGAACAAGAATATAAGCATGTTATATCAGGTAATGTGATTTTTCCTGATATTCTTGGTTTTTCTTTATCATTTATTCCTGTTTTTCAGTTTTTTCTTTATTTTACCACTTTTCTTTCATTATTTTGCTTTGGTAATATAAATGTTGATTTTAGAAAATAAAAGAATACTATCTCTATAAGGGTCTTCATGAATTATTATTGTGGATATATTGTTAAGTGTTTCTAATGTTATATTTATCCCCCCAGCTGTGATCCCTGCTGCTGTCAACATGCCGTACATCAGTACTCAAGTGAAGTCGTGTGTGGACCAAGAACAATCCAAAACTCTTTGGGTGCCTTCAGGGAGCCTCTGACTCTCCCCAGCGCAGAGTGAAAGAGCTGTTATATTTTGCAAAGAATGATATCCTGGCTGATTGGTTCGAAGCCACACATTATGCCACTGATGCTGTTGATTTATGGCATGTGACCCTTAGACAACCTGAGAGAATATATTCGATTTCTAGCAATGTGTCTTGTACTACTCAAACTTACCCTGAAATTCCATGATTTTTTAAAAGGTAGCATATCTGGTTTTAATGCATGTGGAAGATTTTTAATTTATTCACAATATAAGATTATTTTTGTTGTTTGTTACACAGCAATTTCTATTTTTTGTTACTGGACCAAGCCCAAGAAGTACAAAATATCACCCAATATGGTTATATTTGTGCTGTAACATTTTGATCTTTGAAAAGTGTAATGTTGTTAAGTCAAAATATGCGATAATGTGTAGATATTACCTTTTTGAAAGGTGTTTAACTTGGATTGATGATAATCCTTCAGAGGAAGGAATCAGTAGGCCTGCCTGTGACAGGTGTCTTCCCTATACCAAAGAGGTTTTAAGACAGTGAAGGAGACGGTATCTGGTGGATGTAACAAGCTACATTACATGTAGCTGCCTGCTGTGGCAGCAATTGTCAGTAGACAATATTCCTTCTCACTTGTGCCTTAATGGAGCTGGTGAGTGGCCTGTGTTTTGGCTTTATATCACTAATTAGACCACCCACTTGCAGGTGCACATGTCACTGACTTGATATTGGCCTCTCCTGATCTCAGGTATCACCATGGCCTGGCTCTCAATTACTTAGTGAACAGCAGTCATCATTATCAGTCTACTGGAAGCTTTACCCTTACCTTGTTAAGGAAGTTATTGTTATTGACCTACTAGACATTTTCAAAATTCAGTGAAAGCCGTAAACTAGACACTTCCAGATTTTGGTGAATGCAGGAAAATAAAATTTTAGAGCAGTACAAGCTGCAGAAGGTGCAACTATGAGATTAGCTTTGAGGTATTTGAAATCTGTGATTTCAAGGTCACTCTGGTATTGTAGGAACCCTTGTGTCTTCCTTGTAGAGTATGTTATACCACCTTTCAGTTGTCTGAAAGTGTTTTGAATGTAAATTTTAAAAGCTGTATCCACATAAAAGTTCCACTTGATCTGTTTACTTCCATTTTGGTGCATTGATAGAGGTTATTTACTGTTAGCTTTGTGGAAGATCAGTTTTCATAGTATTTTTGAAAGATGCTTTCACTTGTATGTAGAATTTATTTATTTCATGTTTACATTCAGAAGTAGAAGAAATAGTATACCCTATTAAATATAAGCACTAACCTATGGTGTTAGGTGTTCGTTGAGACTCATGAATTTGATGTATGATCAGATCATTTTTGAAATATGAATAATATCCCATCATTTGACTGATCCAGCTGAATTTAAATCATACTTCTTGGGGTGTTCCCATTCCTGTCTTTCATACTGTAACTTAGCCTGTATATGCAAGTGTACTTGCAATGATATGTTAGTCCTTTTTGACTGACACTTCTTGCCCTCAACCTTGTTATTACAAAGTTCTTGGCAACATTTACTTTGAAATATGGAGAGAATTGCCTGGATTACAACGATTTTACATATTCATATATTGTGTTGTTGACTGAGGCTTACTAGGAGTGGTTTATATTTTGTATGTACACCATGTTATAGTCTTGTATATTACTGTAATATATCTACAGATGTAATTAAGGAGACTATATATTATGTTTACCTGTACTTTATACAAAACTTTACTGTGAGCAATAACAGTGGAGAGAAAGCTGTATAAATGTTTCTTAGTAAAATTAAGAATTTTAAGATTTGATTTGTTACAAAACCTTTTATTTTGTGTAATGAATAGATAATGATAGGCCAGATTTTACAAGGCAGTATCACCTAGATATGAAGTCTGGCTTTGATGAAATATTTAATGCCTGTATTGTATTAAGTCTACTTATTATGTGGCTATGGTGCTGAACATGCCATGTGATATAGTGCATTGTTTAAGCATATGATTTGCATGGAGAGCCACTAAAAACATTGTTTGCTGAACCATTGTGATAATGAATATTGCAACTGTGGATCATCCTCTGTGTCAGAGTAGACTTAAAAAGAAGTATTTAAATAGTCTATACCTTTAGATGTTGTGAGAATATAAGGTAAATGTCTCAGTGAGAGTAAGAAAATGAAAAAAATTATCATGGTTATTTGATTATTTTTGTCTTCTTTCTTTTTGACAATTTTCTCTGACCAATATTGATCCACAAAGAAAACTTTCACAGAAAACTAAAGCAACATCCTCAATTTTTACTGTCTATTTAGATGATTGTTGGTTGATTATGTATAACAGAGAATATTGGTTATATCAAATAAATTCATTGGGTTAAGACAATTAAAGCAAGGCAGTGAGTTAATGCACACGTCTTTGTTAACAAAAGTATGTCACCACATTATCTGTTATTGCAAGCTATGCTAAATGCAAATGAGATGTTCTTTATTGATTTCATGTGTGTGTGTTGTCATGAGTTAAAAATATATTGTTTTAAAATTTAAATTCACCACTCACTCATCCTCATACTAAAAGGTTTTACTGTAGCATGGATATATGAAAATAGAAAACTGTAAGATATAATATATGAGAGCAATATTAAGAAGATCAGAGAGTGTGGCAAAGCGTGTGGTCAAGTAAACAAAAGTTCAGTTATGGCAGTCCTCCTGCTGTTAATTTCAGCCAGTAAAAGGCTTTGATAACTAATACATGAGACCACTTGAAGCACAGGGTCTTTGAAAATTAAGTGTAATATGAAGCAATCAACAAAGAGAGTACACGAATTCTCTCTCCTCCCTCCCTCCCATCCTCCATCTCCCTCCCCCCCCTCTCTCTCTCTCCCCTCTCCTTCTCTCT